TTGGGAATTGGTCCTGCTTTGAGCAGGGGGTTGGACTAGATGATCTCTTGAGGTCCCTTCCAACCCTGATATTCTATGATTCTATGATTCCAGCTTTTTTAAATTTTTTTTTAAATTTCTAACCATTCTAAGTAGAAAGCAGAGTTTGGGAACAACTTTAACATTTTATGTAAATATTGTATGGATTATGGGGACTTTCAAAATGCAGCACATACTATAAGACGACATTTAGTTAGTTTATCTGGTGCTTTTTCCTAACAGATAAAAAACATTCCTTGCCTGAAGAACTTACAGTCAGACTCGATAAAGGACATTTTCAAATGCCATGAGTGAAAACTCATTTGGTAAAAAAAAATAAGGTGAAGGTGGCTAAGTGACAGTGTTCTCATCCATCACATCTACAGAAACCAAGCATTTAAAAACAAGGCAATGGATAATTAAAGATATCAAATCTTACACTGCCCTCATAAAAAACAAATATAAGCACAAAAAAGGCATATTTCATTATTGCACAACAACCTTAACTATGAGCCATGGCTCTTTATTAATCAAATCAATTAATTATTTGGGTTCTCTTAATTTCAGTATACTTTTCCTTTTGAGAGATACAGTTAAATGAGAAATAATATTGCTTAATATATTTATCAGACCATAGAAGTTTTTGTACAGACTTAATTGTTGTTTATTGATAAGGCTGGAAACGTAGTTTTACAGGAGAAGTTTATAACAGTCAATAAATGGTAAAATTACATATCCTACCTGGGTACGGGCAAATTGTATGTTTCTTTGTCAGAATGAATAGTATTTATTTTGCATCAGAGTTAAGAGTCTTAAGTTGTGACACACGGATAAGAATGTATACGTTTATTATGTGGGCAGCATAAGATTGCTGTTGTCTGTGACTCGTCATTTCCATGCTGAAAAGCGTTTGGCTTTTGAGAAGGATGGGTTAGTTCTTCATTGCCATAAGCAGGCTTTTCTCTGACTAGTACAAGACAATGACACTCCCACACTTGAATATTATCACTGTGGTGGATCCTTACCTTCATTCTGAAAAACGTGATGCTGGTCAGCAAGTCCACGGTGGATTTCAAGTCCTGTAACCGCTCAGGGCTGCTGGCTGGGAAATTGTTCTGTTGGCATAAAAGTGAAACCACACCTGAAAGAGCAATCAGACGTCCACAAGCTCACAAGCCCATTCAAAATACACATGTTAAAAACCCTTGGAAATGTATACAGCTCAGGAGCTTCTAGCACTCAAAACAATGCTCAGAAAATAAAAGTCTTCACATTGAACAAGGTAAGACCTTTTCACTACAAGAGTTCATCTGTTTAATTAAAAAGTTCTTCATATAAATTTAGTGTTCATGAACGGTGACAGACTGATAGTCATAAGAATGGCCATACTGAGTCAGACCAATGGTCCATCCAGCCCAGTATCTTGACTTCCGATAGTGGCTGGTGCTAGATGCTTCACAGGGAATGAACAGAACAGGGCAATTATCGAGTGATCCATCTCCTGTCATCCAGTCACGGCTTCTGGAAGTGAGACACTTAGGGACGCCCAAAGAACAGGGTTGTGTTCCTGACCATCTTGGCTAATAGTCATTGTTGGACCTATCTTCCATGAACTTATCTAATTATTTTTTGAACCCAGTTATAGTTTTGGCCTTCACAACATCCCCTGACAACAAGTTCCATAGGTTGACTGCACTGCATAAAGTACTTTCTTATGTTTGCTTTCAGCCTGCTGCATCCCAATTTCATTGGATGACCACTGATCTTGTGTTATGTGAAGGGGTGATCGCTTTTCTAAGATGAACAGTTCCAGTCTTTTGAGTCTTTCCTCATATGGAAACTGTTCCATAACCTTAATCATTTTTGTTGCCCTTCTCTGTACTTTTTCCAACTCTAATATATCTTTTTTGAGATAGGATGACCAGAACTGCATGCTGCATTCCAGATGTGGGTGTATCATGGATTTATATAGCATCATTATCATATTTTCTGTATTAATATTTATCCGTTTTCAAATGGTTCCTAGCAAACTGTTAGTTTTTTTGACTGCCACTGCACATAGTTCTCTGAAAACATCTGCTCAATCTACGACGACTCCAAGATCTTTCTTGAGTGGTAACAGCTAATTTAGACCCCATCATTTTCTATGCATAGTTGGGATTGTGTTTTTCCAATGTGTATTACTTTGCATTTATTGACACTGAATTTCATCTGCCATTTTGTTGCCCAGTCACCCAGTTTTGTGAGATCCCATTCTAACTCTTCACAGCGTGCTTTGGATTTAACTATCTGCAAATTTTGCCACTTCACTGTTTACCCACTTTTTCCAGATCATTTATGAATATGTTGAACAGCACTGGTCCCGGTAGAGATCCTTGTAGGAGTCTCTTCTTTGTTAAAGTTTCAATCAAGGATCGCCTCTGGAGCCTTTTTTAAAAATTGGTGTTAGCGATCCTCCAGTAATCTCGTACAGAGGCTGATTTAATCGATAGGTACCACAGTTAGAAGTTCTGCAATTTCATATTTGAGTTCCTTCAGAATCCTTGGGTGAATATCCGCTGATCCTGGTGACTTATTACTGTGTAATTTATCAATTTGTTCCAAAACCTCCTCTACTGACACCTCAATTTGGGATAGTTCCTCAGATTTTTCACCTAAACAGAATTGCTCAGGTGTAGGAATCTCCCTCACATCCTCTACAGTGAAGACCAATGCAAAAAATTAATTTAGCTTTTCCATAATGGCCTTGTCTTCCTTGAATGCTCCTATAGCACCTCCGCTATCCAATGGCCCCTCTGGTTGTTTGGCAGGCTTCCAGCTTCTAATGCACTTAAATTTATTTTTGATGTTGGTTTTAGTGTCTTTTATTAATTGCTATTTAAATTCTTTTTTGATCTGCCTAATTATACTTTTGCATTTGACTTGCCAGATTTTGTACTCCCTTCTGTTTTCCTCAGTAGTATTTGACTTCCAGTTTTTAAAGGATGTCTTTTTGTCTCTAACCTTCTCTTTTACTCTGTTTAGCAATAGTAGAAATTTTTTTTTGACCCTGTCAAAGTATTTTTTATTTGGTGTATACATTTAGTTTAAGCCTCTATTATGATGTATTTAAAAAGTTTCCATGCAGCTTGTGACTGTTTCTTTGAATTTCCATTTTGCCTGCCTCCTCATTTTTGTGTAGTTGCCCTTTTTGAAGTTTGATGCTACTGTGGTGGGTTTCTTTGGTATTTCCTCCCCCGTATGAGGATGTTAAATTTAATTACATTACGGTCGCTATTACCAAGCAGTTCAGCTCTATTCACCTCCTTGGACCAGATTGTGCTCCATTTAGGACTAAATCAAGAATTGCCTCTCCCCTTGTGGGTTCCAGGACTAGCTGCTTCAAGAAGCTGTCATGAATGGTGTCTAGAAATTTTCTCTTTGCAACCGATCCTGAGATGACATCTTCCCAGTCAATATGAGGATAGTTGAAATCCCCCATTATTATTGGATTTTCTAGTCTCTCTAATCTCCCTCAGTATTTCAGAATCACCATCACAGTGAGGTGATCGGTAGTATATTCCTACTGCTATACTCATGCATGGAATTTCTAGCCCTAGAGTCTCTATGGTAGTTTGAGTCATTTAAGATTTGTACTATACTGGACTCTATGCTTTCTTTCAAATACAGTGCCACACCCTCACCAGTACAACCTACTCTATCATTCCTGCATATTTTGTGCCCTGGTATTACCGTGTCCTATTGATTGTCATCAGTCCACCAATTTTCTGTGATGCCTATTATATCAATATCCTCACCAGGCACTCAAGTTCACCCATCTTAGTATTTAGATTTCTTGCATTTATATAGAAGAACTTATAAACTTTGTCAATATTTAGTGCTCTGGCTTCATGTGTTGTAACTGACTGGGACTCTTTCATTTGACTGTTTCTCTTCAGCTCCTACCTGTACTTTATCAACTTGGATCCTCTCTTCTTTATATATAGAGGAGCCACTTTAATAAACCCTCCCCTAAGGGAGGTCTCCATCTGAACAATGTGCTCCTCCACACCTGTCGGCTTTCCCCCAGCCCTTAGTTTAAAAACTCTTCTACAACCTTTTTCATTTTACATGCCAGTGCTCTGGTTCCATTTCAGGCCAGAAGGCCTTTATTTATCCACAGAACAAGTACAGAATAAGCAGCAACAGAGCATGCTTCCCCGCCTTCCCCTGACAGCATACCTAGTTCTGGGCTGGAGCCTGACCTCAAGCCAACTGCTTGAGAAGGCTTTTCGTTTTCCCACAACTCAGTTTTTGGCCTCTCTTTGGAGAAAGCCAATAAGGATGCCAGGTGTGGTGAGGTTTGTGATTTCCAGTGATATAGAAAAGAAGATTCTGAATCCCATTAGCAATCCTCTCATCTAGCCAGATGTCAGCTACCAATATTCAGAGACTCTAAGGCCAGACGGGACCATTCTGATAATCTAATCTGACCTTGTGCATAACATTGGCCATAGGAATTCCCTGAATTACTTCTTGTTTGAACTAAGGGAAATCTTTTTTGGAAACATCCAGTCTTGATTTGAAAATTGCCATAAGAACATAAGAAAGGCCGTACCAGGTCAGACCAAAGGTCCATCTAGCCCAGTATCCTGTCTACTGACAGTGGCCAATGCCAGGTGCCCCAGAGGGAATGAACCTAGCAGGCAATGATCAAGTGATCTCTCTCTCCTGCCATCCATCTCCATCCTCTGTCAGACAGAGGCTAGGGACACCATTCCTTACCCGTCCTGGCTAATAGCCATTAATGGACTTAACCACAATGAATTTAT